AAGTGGGAAAAAGAAATAAATGTTTGTGAATGTGTCGGTTACGGACCGGACACTGTTCCTGTTATCCACCTTCCAACCGGCTTCGGAGAAGACATTAATATTTCCATCCTGCAAGTGAGAAAACTGAGGCTCCAGTAGCTGCAGCAGCTGTCCCAGTGGCAGACCTGGTCCCCCAGGGCCTGCGGAGAGCTCTTCGTTTCTCTGGGAAAGCCGACTGCGCCGCACCTTAGAAGCTCACCCGAAGCCCCCAAAGCCTTCAGGAAGCGCGGGGGTCATTGTTCCAGTGGAGATGGTTCCTGCTCTGGACCCTTGGTGAGCGTTTTCTCCCTGTGATGTTTCCTGGCTAACGTACCGTGGTCCAGGCAGTTTCCTGTTGGCCGTCTCATCCACTCCCAGGGCTTCGACCAAGCCTGAGCGTGGAGTACATGCTGTAAACCCATCTGTACATCGCCAAAAAGTCCCAGTCCACACCTGTGGGTGAAGGCACTCTGCACACTGAGTTCGATCTTGGTTCCTGCATCGTCTCTCACCTGGGCCCAGTGCTCACACGTGTGTCCACAGAGGACTGGCCACAGACCGCACTGCAGGTACCAGCTCAGGCAGGGAAGACCCAGAGGTGAATAAGGTGCCTTATGTTAAAAATCCAAGGGTCGGCCGGGCGTGGTGACTCATGACTGTAATCCCAGCACTTTGGGAGGCCGAGGCGGGTGGATCATGAGGTCAGGAGATCGAGACCATCCTGGCTAACATGGTGAAACCCCATCTCTACTAACAATACAAAAAATTAGCCGGGCGAGGTGGCGAGCGCCTGTAGTCCCAGGTACTCGGGAGGCTGAGGCAGGAAAATGGCATGAACCTGGGAGGCGGAGCTTGCAGTGAGCAGAGATCACGCAACTGCACTCCAGCCTGGGCGACAGAGCAAGACTCTGTCACACACACACATACACAAAAAAAAAGAAAAAAAAAATCCAAGGGTCTACATATGTGCGTGGGGGTGGGTGGCTGAAAGGCAAACAAATACCATGTGGGCCACCAAGGTCATCAGCTGAAGAGGGTAGGGGTTCTAACAGCACAGGTCCAGGGAAACCCAGGAAGGCTTCTGAGGGAGAGAAAAACATTTTTATACCAATCTTTGTGGCTGGATGGCTGGGTGGGTGGGCACCTGACTGAAGCAATGAATAGAATACAGGACCGGGTACATCCATTCACCTTTCCACACATTTCTAATCACACTGTAGGTTTCTTAGGTCAGAGATTATGCTTGTAGTTTTTGGATTCTTTATGGTACATTGAAGAAAATAGTACTTAAAACATAGTTTTATTAGCCAGGCATGGTGGCACGTGCCTGTAGTCCCAGCTACTCAGGAGAGGCTGAGGCAGGAGAATTGCTTGGACCCGGGAGGTGGAGGTTGCAGTGCACTGAGATCACAGCACTGACTCCAGCCTGGGCAACAGAGTGACACTCCGTCTCAGAACAAATAAAATAAAATAAAAAACACCAACAGAAAACCCATAGTTTTGGATTTCTTCAGAACGTCTTCAATGTTTCTTCATGAGGCAGAGGGCACAGAGCGCTGCGTGTGGCCTGGCTGCAGACACTGAGGCTGGGGACAGGCCCCCCAGTTGAAAAATATATATTCTTTAAAAAACAGACAAACAAAACAAACAAAAAACATTCTTTTTGCACTTCAGATGAGGGCTGTGTGACTTACACTCACTTTCCTGGACTGCTGGCTCATGGAACAGCAAACCCAGATGAGGTAAACAAGCCCCAGGAGCAGAACCACCACAGGCCCCCGAGTGACCTTCCCCTGACAGGCTCGGCCCAGCCCAGGACTCAGACAAGTGGAGAAACCACCACCTTCTGTCTGGGGAGCGCTTTCCCAGGCTGATCCCGGCTTCTGGCTGCCCCCCGAGGCACCGCACTGGTACTGGATCTGGTTCTGATGACCAAGGCGCTAGGGGTCTTTGGCCTCCAAATCCCCTTCAAATACGGCTGTCTCTTGTCTTGACACGACCTGGCTCTGCCTGTGCTCCTGTCCTTTGGGTGGGTCCCATCCTTCGATTCATCCATTGTCCTTACAGGGGATCTAGCCGTAGGACATGTGATTTGAAGGAGTCATCTCTTATTCATTTATTGATTTAGCAAATGCATATCAAAGGCACCTCTGCCCCCGCTCGACAGTAAAGCACTGCACACCTGCAGCCATGTGTTGAGTTGACTTCGTAAATATCCGCCATGTGTTGGCAAGTGTTGCCTGCTAAACTCGGGACTCTGATGGAGGGCCTGCACCAGGCACTCTGTGGGCGCTGAGGGAAGACAGCCTGTTTCAGACTCCAGGCCAGGGTCAGGCTCAACCTCTGACTGCACCCTCAGGTGACAGCCAGCGTGTGACCCCCACATGCCTGGGGCCTTCTGCCCGAATCACTGCCGAGCTGCACACTTCGGATGTGAGTCTCAAGCTTCCTCTGGCTTCTACAGCCCAGCCCTGCTGTGGGGCAGTTCCTCAAACTCCACTCTCTGCTACACAGGGATTGAAAGAAGACCCCTGCTCCCTTAAGCACTGGAGCTGCAGAGCAACCCACGCGCCTGTGTGCCCAGAGCCTCAGTTACTCCAAATGCCACTTTTATGTCTTCACCATGTGACGGAGGGAGCAGAGGGTCCACAGAGAGAGCTGACCAGCAAACAAATCTACGGAAACATGTGAAAGCTCTCGAAAGAGGTAAGGGTTTTGCTTATTAAAGTTAAAAATGATTAAAATTTAATATACAAACAAACAAAAATCATGTTTGGGAGCCTGCGTTGGGAAACGAGGCCAGTCCCTGCCTCCCTGAATGAAAAAGAACCTTTTGGAAAGCAATGTGAGCAAGCCACAGACAGGTTCATTGGCTTTGACCAGTAATTTCACCTCTGGGAAAGCAGCCTAAGGAAATAATCATAAATTTGAAAATAAATAAACAAAGCTATAAGCTTTAAAATGCCAAAGCATTCTTTTTTTTTTTTTTTTTTTTCTGAGACAGAGTCTTGCTCTGTCCCCCAGGCTGGAGTGCAGTGGCACAATCTCGGCTCACTGCAACCTCCGCCTCCCGAGTTCAAGCGATTCTCCTGCTTCAGCCTCCTGAGTAGCTGGGACTACAGGTGCCCACCACCAAGCTCAGCTAATTTTTGTTATTTTTAGTAGAGACGGGGTTTCACCGTGTTAAGCCAGGGTGGTCTCGATCTCCTGACCTCATGATCCGCCTGCCTCGGCCTCCCAAAGTGCTGGGATTACAGGCGTGAGCCACCGCGCCCGGCAGCATTCTTTTTGAAAGTGAAAAACTGGAAACAACTGTGAATGATCAATACCAGGGGAATGGGTACCTGAATTATGGTTTATTCACTTAATGGAATACTGTGCAGTCATTTATAACAAACTCTAAAAACTCTACAGCAGCATGGAGAAAACACTGCATGTCGGAACAGAAAACAGGAGGCAGCATGGAATACAGGATGATGTGGCTGTGGAGGGACACTCCCCATGCGTAAGAATTCCCACGGGAGGCCGGGCGTGGTGGCTCAAGCCTGTAATCCCAGCACTTTGGGAGGCCGAGGTGGGCGGATCATGAGGTCAGGAGATCGAGACCATCCTGACTAACACGGTGAAACCCCATCTCTACTAAAAATACAAAAAATTAGCTGGGCGTGGTGGCAGGCGCCTGTAGTCCCAGTTACTTGGGAGGCTGAGGAAGGAGAATGGTGTGAACCTGGGAGGCGGAGCTTGCAGTGAGCCGATCGCGCCACAGCACTCCAGCTCGGGCGACAGAGCGAGACTCCGTCTCAAAAAAAAAAAAAAAAAAAAAAGAATTCCAACGGGAAATATGCCTATGTACCCACTGTAGTTGTGTCAGGATGGCAGGATCACAGGCTATGTTTCACTATTTTTCAAATATCTTAAACGTAAATTAAGGGTGAAGAACAAGTTCCTGTGGAACTAGAGAGTTACATCGTGCAGGACGACAGCATGGGGCAGACCCCCACAAAGCGTCTCAGACATGGGTTAGGCGAGAGGGCCTAGCCCCAGCTCTTGGGACACGTTGCTCCAGATCGTAAGGAACTCAATGAATGGGCCCGGGAAGAGAAACTGAAAATTCAGCAGCAGCCGCGGTTTGGGAAGGTGGAGCTGGGTGGGAGTTGCCGCGCTTGGGCAGCCACCCCCGCCACCCCACAGGGGAACCTTGAACCATCAGCGATGCCAGCACATGTGGCGGAATCCAATCGGAGGTCTCTTCCACTGTTACCTGGCAGCAGTCACGAAGGAGCCTCCACCTGGGCCTCCTCAGACGTGTCGGTTGCATGGCAATCTGCATCTAAGAGCCCGAGTGTGGGCCAGTTCACATTTGGTGACTGTGGCTCAAATGCAGGTCACCAATGTCACTCCTGTCACCACTCATTCTCCCATTTGTTTGAGAGCCAGGGTAACTGAGGAGCAGAGAAGTTATGTAACTTGCCAAGTAAGATAGGAGTCCTATGAGGCAGCAACTGGGACTTCGGAGTCCAATCCAGGGCTCTCTTAAAACCTGTCTGGTGTGGAAACCCTGAACTCCGCCTTGGTGCAGAGGATGACGATGCCGGCAGGTGCTGAGACCACAGCCTTCCCGGCACAAGCTACGTTCAGGGGAGGAAAGTACCACTGTCTGCAGCAGCCCTCGCCTGCCACATGCACACACACACGCAAACATACATGTACACACGTGCACACATGCACACACACGCAAACATACATGTACACACGTGCACACATGCACACACGCAAACATACATGTACACACGTGTACACATGCACACACGCAAACATACATGTACACACGTGCACACATGCACACACACGCAAACATACATGTACACACATGCACACACAAATGTGTACACACACACACAAGCATACACAGAGCAGACGGTCTCATGCACCCTGTCGTCTATGGAAAGCTGTATTGATCAATGAGAGCAGACTATAAATACCTTTTCTCCTCGAGTTCCCTTTTCACCTCGTTCTCCTTGGAGGCCCTGGGGGAAAAAGAAAGAGCAGTGACCAAACATCTTAATCTGACTTCTCTGTGCTCACCATGGGGGTGTCCATGGAGTAACTGCCTGGCAGCTTCCAGCCCAGGGTGGCAGGGATGGTGATGGTGAGGACCCTGTCTCCCCGTGTAGTCTAAGGCCACAAAGCAGCTGCTGTGTGGTCTGGCTCTAGGCAGCAGGGGCAGGCCACTTCCAGAGTATGACATGAGTTCCTGGGCTTGTCCCTTGGCTTAGGCTATCCAGGTCCTCATAGCCATAGATTGGGACATAGCCTGGCTCCTGAACTCAAGTGGCCAAGGACAGAAATGTGGCTTCAAAGTCAGTTCCCCCCACCACACTATGCCTATGATGCCGCAGGACCATGGCTCCCAGGAAGGGTCCCATCGTTGAATCAGAGAATGGCTCCTTGAAGCCAATCACCCCTCCTCCCTCGGGGATAGGGTCACTGTCTGTCCCCACTGCTCATCCTGCCTTCGTCTAGAGCAGCACCCAGACCTTGTGCTGTGGACTCCCTGCCCCTCTGTGTACAGACTAGGTGGGAATGTCAGCCAGGATGTGGGTTTCTCTGAATGCAGGATCCAAAACATGATCCCCCTGCTTCCCCCCACGCCATCGTCCATCGTCACTGGATCCTCTTACCACGCTTTACTTTATTGACAGTACTCAGTCCTGGACGCTGCGTTTTCTGCCTCCCCCAGGTAGAATGTAAGCCCCACCAGGGCAGTTCCTTCAATATGATATCCCCAGAGTCTAGAACAGAGCCTGTCACTTGGTAGGCACTAATACACATTTGTTGAATGACTGACTGACCCAGTGAGTGACTGTGACGATCCCTTGTTTAGCACAGGAATCTGGTAGGGCTTGTGTCTGAAGGCTACTGCCCTACTCTGAGAAGCAGAAGGCTCAGCAGTGCATGTGCCTGCTCTTCCCACGTGCACAGATTACACCGTGAGGCACTGGGGCCACCCACATGAGCTGACAAAAGCACAGCTCCTCCCTGGGCAGCAGCCTGCAGGCCAGGCAATGGTACAAGGCAGGCACCTGCCGGATGAGCAGGAATGTATCCTATGTAACTATGTGAGCTCCCTGTGGGCTCCACTCCCTTTTCTCTCCTTTCTTGGAGAAGAGACCCTGGGGCATTCTATGGAAAAGATGGTAGAGATAGCAGGTGCCACCCAAGCCTCCTTGTTGAGATCAGGAATGATACACACATCTTTGACCTAGAGAGGGTACAGGGCCAAGGCCACAAGATGCTGTCCTAAAGAGTAGAGTATCTGCAGGGCCATCCAGACCTACAGGGGGAGTGAACATCCTTGCTGTTTTAATTTCATCTAAATATTTTGGTCACACACACAGAGATCAGAGGTTTTCAATGTCTCCCTGGCAACTCAAGCTGCTTTGTTTGAAAATGACAGTTTACACTGCTTCTTCCATTTTTCTATGTTTTAAGACCTCCATGCATTAGGTATTTGTCCTAATGCTCTCCCTCCCCTTGCCCACCAATGTCCGACAGGCCCTGGTTTGTGATGTTCCTCTCCCTGTGTCCATGTGTTTTCATTGTTCAACTCCCATGTATGAGTAAGAACATACAGTGTTGGGTTTTCTGTTCCTGTGTTAGTTTGCTGAGGATAATGGTTTCCAGCTTCATCCATGTCCCTACAAAGGACATGGACTCATCCTTTTTTATGGCTGCATAGTATTCCATGGTGTATATGTCCTACATTTTATTTATCCAGTTTATCACTGATGTGCATTTGGGTTGGTTCCAAGTCTTGGCTATTGTAAATAGTGCTACAATAAACACATGTGAGCATGTGACTTTATAGAGAATCAAGAATAGTGTTAGATGTTCGAGAAGCTACTTTGCTCCTTGTACACCATATCTGTTTGTTCACCTCTTTATTCACTGGACCTACTGAATACGTATTATGTGTCTGGCACTGTTCCAGGGGCTAAGAATTAAGTAGACTCCATTCTTCTTCCAAGAGTACAGTACTGGACAGGCTGGGGAAAATGAATTCTTTAGATCAAGTGTCAAAAATCCTTGGTGCTGGTTAAAAATGCAGATTCCTGGGATCTACCCTGCTTCTTGATGGGAGAAAGGGGTCCCAAGAATATTCATTTAAACCTGTTCTCTGGGTGATTCTTATGTACCGTAACATCTAATAATTTCTGGTCTAAGAAAGGAGATACCAACACTTCACTGGCATCAGTAAGGCTAAACAGCATTATTGTCTAGATGCAGGTGGAGGAACTTGCTAGAACCCGGTTTTTGATTCCTGGAGAAGAGGTAGAACCCCTGCCCAGAAAAGTGCCTTCACTTACAGGAGCTCCGACATGTCCTGGAGGTCCGGGGAGTCCAGGCGGTCCTTGGGGCCCCTGCCGAAGAGCATTCACAGAGAAAAGTTTCCGGGATGGAAAAGAAAGGCAAGTACAGCCATACAGCTCAGCCAGTCCCATGTTTGGTGACAAGAGCTGCTAGCTCACATCCCACCAAGTGCTGCCCATGCTGCTGGCACAGATCTCGCCAGCAGACACCCCCTCGACCTCTGCTTCCCTTCTCTATTTAGAAGTCATGCCATCTGCTCCTGGTGGAGCCCTGATTCACACCCAGATTCTCTTGACTTCAAGGAACAGCGAAAGGTGTGTGCATATGAACCACCATGAGGCCAGATGCTACTATTCCATTTCACTCCCCCTGTGCCCCTCGGCCTCCCCATGACCTGGCCTGGATATGTTCACAGCTTCTGAAACATTACAACTGATTCCTGTGGCTCATCATTCACACTTTGCCACGGGCTCAGTACAGCCTGGACAAGTCCTGACAAAGAGCTCAGCAGAAGTCTGCAGACCTGGAGGTGCCTCTGCTAACCAGACCATGAAATGCTATTGCCTCTCAACAACTAGTTTGGAAATACCTATTAAAGTCTGCTAAAATAACAACATACATTCATTCGGCCAAGGGTATCCCAATTTTTAATCTATGCTACTGTAATTAAAATATAGTAGATAAGGAGAAACACACAAATGTACACATGCATGCATATTCAGTGCTTCATTAATTTTAGTGGAAAACAAATGACATTAGTATAGTCCTTAGGACCATAAATAGGGGAATGATATATATTACAATACATCCATATGGATGTTATATATTACAATATATCCATGTATGATTGGATACATCCAATACATCCAATTCTATGTCTTAATTACGAGAATGTGTGGGGCCTATCTGTATTTACATAGAAATATGTCTCTCATCTCTTGTTAAATAACAAAGATAAATGACCAAGTATGATATAAAGAAATTTTTGTAAAAATTTAGGAAAAATCATTTATGTGTGGATATACACACACAAATGTGCATGCAGTTATATGAGAAGAGGAGGCAGGGAGCCTATCTGAGCATCTCTTCTGCACCTAAAGCAATTGGCTTTGCACTGGGCCTTGTCCCCTGGGAACAACAGAAGGGCCCAGCACACAGCAACACTTACCCGCATGCCGACCTCACCCGGAAGCCCCGGCTCTCCCAGTTCTCCTGGCTCCCCCTGAACAAACAAAACAGCACAAAGTCATAGGCAGTGGGACACAGGCCTAGGTACACCAGTGCAGCCCACAGCCTCCCAGGACCTCGGCTTCCTGCAGCTCAGAACTCATCACAGAAACAAGGTAGCCATCAGTGAGCAGGGCCTGGGCTCCCCTCAGATGCCATTTCTATAAGCAAAGAAGCTGACCTTTGCTGCACACAGTATTTTTTTTTTCTTTAGAAACAGGATCTGATTCTGTCTCCCAGACTGGAGTGCAGTGGCACAATCATAGCTCACTCATTATAACCTCAAAATATTTAGTTCAAGTGATCCTCCTGCCTCAGCTTCCCAAGTAGCCTGGAATACAGGCATGCACCACTGCACCAGGTTGCTTTATTTTTTGTAGACATAGACGCTCGCTTTGTTGCGTACTCTGGTCTTGAACTCCTAACTCAAGCGATCCTCCTGCCTCGGCCTCCCACAGAGCTGGAATTACAGGTGTGAGCCACCATGCCCGGCCACACAGTATTATCTCCACTCCCACTCACTTTAACTTTGGAGAGAGCAGGGGAAAAGTGTAAAAACTGGCGCCACCCTGATGGTTGTCTTCATGGAAAGGATGTTGGCCACCTAGAGTGGAGTGAGAAGAGAGCCTAGGGTCCATGGAACTCTCCTTTCTCCCTTGTCTCCAGGATCTTAGACCACCTGTCCCAAAGGGCTGCCCGCTGTGGACCTCAGCACTGCTCACAAGACAGGTTCCCTCTCTGAGACCTGATTTTATGTGGCTGGACATGGCGAAGGGATCAGAGAGGTGAATAATACAGAACCAATGTCCACTTGGATTCTTGGTGGAGAGGAGACTTACCCACCGGAGCTGAGATCACTTTGATCTTGGGTTGCTGGAGGATGTTGCAGCTCAGAGGCAGGTGAGATGAAGAGGTGGGGTTGGGGGTAATGATCAGAGGAAAGCTGGCTTGCCATATAGGGTGTAGGGTGCTGCTTGGGTCTCACTCTGACTCCTCTAGCTACAAACTGGGGTCTTAAGCAAATCCATTGCCTCGCTGGGGCTAGTTCCAAGTCTAGGCATGGGGTAAAACAAGGCTGCCTTGCAGAACTACTTGTTAACTAAATGAAAAAGCATTTCCAAGGACAGGCAGGCGATACCCGGGGGCAAAGCTGCTGCTGGTCTTATCACAGCTATTAGGCTGAGCCCCTGGGATCTGCGAGGATCCTGATACAAATAAGTCCCTGCTCAAGCCTGGCCCTGGCAATGCCACCCCACTTGAGGACACGGGGTTCTGACCAGGAGGTCACCAGCCCAGTACTGCCTTGTGAGCCAGGGCAGACGGAACAGAACTTACTCTCATGCCTTTGCTGCCGTCTCTCCCGGGGGGGCCGGGCAGGCCCAGGGAACCCTAGAGCCAAAAAAAGAGAATAGCAATTAGTAAAGAATAACTGAGACAGCCTCTCAGAATGCTAGTGCAGTGGAGAACGTGCCAGGAAGGGAAGGAAATTGTGGCCAAGACTGCTACTCAAAAACTAATCCACAAGCCTGCAGCATGGGCATCACTTGGGAGAGTATAAAATGCAGATTCCCAGGTTTCACCTCAGATCTACATCAGGGTCCATGTTGTAGCCACATACCCAGGAGATCTGTCTGCACCTGATGTGGGAGTAAGCAGCTCTGGTCCACAGCCCTTCACCAGCTGGAGGTGCGGCCCTTCCTCGCTCTGGGCTTGGTGTGATATGTGTAAAGTAGAGGATTGGGCTGCAGCGGGGCTCTCAACCTTGGCATCATAGACATCCAACTGGATAAGCCTTTGCAATGGGGCTGAGCAGTGCACTGTAGGATGCTCGGCTGCCACCCTAAATGCCAGCAGCACCCTCCAGGGGTGACAACCAAAAATGTCTTCAGATATTGCCAAACGCCTCCTGGTTGGGAACCACTGGGCTAGAAAAGGTATTCGACTTGTCATTTTAGCTGGGACAAACTTCTTTCTAAGGAATCTCACGCAGACACACATGACATGAATAAACATGGAGCAGCCGTGGGAAGTCCAGGGCTGGACCAGCTTCTCACCCCACTTTCTACTCCACACACTTCCCAGAGAAGGCTTGGGGAGGGAATCTAGAAACAGGTAACTCAAGCACCTCTAAGCTCCCGACTAGCTCCAACATCACTTGGTGCCAATCAAAGCATCCTGCCTGAGACCTCCCACCCAGCTCCTGGCTCTCCATCAGTGTCTCTGTGGCACTGAGAAAGACTGCGCCTCTCTCTGGGCTGTTTCCATCTATACAGTGAGGGTGCTGGGTATTCAATGGATGAATGAACAGATGAATCTCTATGTAAAGTGTAGAAAACACTATATGCCAAAGTATATTTCTACATATGTCATCTGATTTAATCCTCATTATAATCCTGAGATATGTATTATTTTCTCAAAGCATATCAGATATTTCTAGATTTTATCTACAAACATGCATGCACACACATGCTTTTAAGATTTCTATGAAATGCCTTCCACGGCCTCAACATTCTTTCTAATATAAGTCAGTGTGATATTGAAGAGAAAGACTGACATGACAGATGTCTCTGGTCATGGCATGAGACAGACATGAATCCATCTCAACTCTAGACCTTCCTGGCTGTGAGACCTTTTTTTTTTTTAGACATGGTCTTGTTCTTTCACTCAAACTGGAGTACAGTGACATGAACATGGCTCATGCAGCCTTGTCCTCCTGGGCTCAAGCGATCCTCCCACCTCAGCCTCCTGTGTAGCTGGGATTACATGCGCACATCACATCTGGTTAATTTTTGTATTTTTTTGTACAGACAGGGTTTCACAATGTTTCCCAGGCAGGCCTCGAACTCCTGAGCTCAGGCAATCCATCTCCTTGGCCTCCCAAAGTGCTGGAATTACAGGGGTGAGCCACCGTGCCCGGCCCTGGCTGTGAGACCTTAAACACACCCACTGACCTCAGGTGTGAAGTGTGGATACTGTTACCAGCAGCAGGATGGCTGCAAGGGGAGGCAAGGTTTGGTAAATGAAAGTGCACACACTCTGCTGTGGGGACAGAATTGAGTTTCCTGGTACTGTCTGTTCTCCCAGTGACCCAGGCCCATGATGACAGAAGGATCAAATGGAAGCACCACACCAGCGCACCTGTGGCCTGGGAAAGAACACCTTCACCAGCTGCTGTGGGCACCATAAGCCTCTGGGGACAGCCACACGGATTTGCTCTGCTGCCCTTATCTGACAATTCAACAGTGGAGACAAAGGGACTATGCACAGACACAACACTGATTCGCTTGTAAGTTGCTTGTGGTTCTCAGGCTCGGGACCAGGAGGGTCTAATCCTGGGCCCTGAGGGGTAGTACCTTCATGTGGGTCGGGCCTGGCAGAGGGTGTGTCTCCAGCAAGGAGGCCTAGCGAGCAGCCATTCATGGACAGGGCAGGCTGAACACCAATCGTCCGACCCTCGCTTAGAGGAGGGTGGGTACTTTGGGGCAAATTCCTTACTCTCTGAATCTCAGTTTCGTTTTATTTTCTATAAAATAGGGACAATCATGGTGTATTAGGGTTCTTCAGAGGGACAGAACTAATGGAATATATATGTGTGTGTGTGTGTGTGTATATATATATATATATTTTTTTTTTTTCCAAAGGGGAGTTTATTAACTAACAATAACAAGATCACGAGGTCCCACAATAGGCCATCTGCAGGCTGAGGAGCAAGGAGAGCCAGTCCAGGTTCCAAAACTGAGGAACCTGGAGTTCAATATTCCAGAGCAGGGAGCACCCAGCATGGGAGAAAGATGGAGGCTAGGAGGCTGGGCCAGTCTCTCCTTCCACATTTTTCTGCCTGCTTATATTCTAGTTGTGCTGGCAGCTGATTAGACAGTGACCACCTAGAATATGGGTGGGTCTGTCTTTCCCAGTCCACTGACTCAAATGTGACTCTCCTTTTGCAACATCCTCACAGACACACCCAGGAACAATACTTTGCATCCTTCAATCCAGTCAAGTTGACACTCAGTATTAACCATCAGACACAGCCACTGTGAAAAGCTGTTATAAGTATTAAAGTCCTCCCAGGTGCTTCATAGATCATTCCCAAAGCCTCCTCTAGATGAGAACAATTTGATTTGCAGTCACCAGGCTTTATGGTAGCAGGAAGGTTGGGGGATTCTTTGATCAAACAACTTTGTGAAAAAAATGCAGAGTTAAACCAAGTGAAGCAAGTTCCTTTACAGTGGGTGTTCTTGAAGGCTTACTCATGCCCTTGTTGATGATTCTCCACAAGGCCCTGGCCCACCAGACCCTTTTCAAAGGCATGGAAGGACCTGCCGTGGCTCAGAGCCCAGAGCCCATGCAGGGAGAGGGGCTGCTGCTTCTCGGAGCCTCATCTCGGGTAAAACTGGGTCCAAGACAAAATGAACAAGGGCTGTTTATTCTTAAACTTGTGATGGAGAGCAGGCTGCCATTGCTTTCATTTCAGCAGAGGGTTTGAAGATGTTAGTTAGAGAATCAACCTTATTTCTAGGGTTAAAAGAGGAAATACTGAGAGTCTCAGATTGGTGAGTGTTGTATTTAGGGGTGATTTTTGGAAGGCGGGAGACATTCTAATTCCAGTATGCCTGTCCATCCTTGGCTGGATAGAAAGGGGCAGGTGCATCGTTTGGGAATATTTCATAAAAGAAAGGATTGTTCAATTGGAAGGATAAGGGATTTCTGTCGTCAGTTGTTTCCGGGAAAATAGGGGCCAGTGGGTTGCTTTTGTGGGTTAAACCATCACAAGCATCTTCCTTGGCGGATGCTGTCATGGCAGCTGCTTTCTCAGCCTCCAGTTACACATCGGAAAAATGAGGAGCCACCTCCCCCTCTACTTCCCCATTTGGCTGTTCTGGAATTTAAATTTTAAATTCTGAGATTGAAAGAGGTAACCAGTACAGGAGGAGGTGATTTCTCCCCGATTAAACACACATGCATGTTTAATAATAGCAGAAACAACAGTCAGAGTAAAGTAATATTAATCATAGTGTATTAATGTGATAGTACAGATGTTGCTGAGGATAGTTTATCTAGTTCTACAAGGCGCCAGGCACCGAGCACTTTACATCCATCACTGCATTCAACACCTCCCCACAACAGTTCTAGGAAAGAGACAGAACCATCATCTCCATTTCAGTGTTTATGAAACAAAAGCACGGACAGCTGATTAGCTCTAATCTAATCCGTTGATTACAGCTGATTAGATTAGATTTAATCTGTCCAAAGTTACAGTGCTTGTGGAAGAGCCAGACTCCAGGCCCTAGAGTGTGCTTCCGAACGTCTTCACAACACTTAGTGGTGTCCGAACTCACATCAGTTCCCTGGTTGCTTGGCAGCCCTGTAAGCTAAGTGTTGCTATCCTCACCCTACATTCAGGCACACTGGGGCACAGAGCAGGTACATGACTTTCTCATGACTACTGGGGAGTCTACATGGTAGAGTGAGGCAGGTTGGGGTAGTTCACACTTGAGCATCCAGCTCTCCCTCTCCAGGGATCCTGACCTTCCTCTTCAGCCTCCACAAGCCCTGCTCCCCTGGGAATACTGGAAGGAAGACTCATTTGACTGCCTCACAGGTGGAGAAGCACTGTGTGGAGCCAGGAGATGGTGGTGAGCAATAGAGTGGGCTCAGCTCCCCATACAGCCTGTGTCTCCAAGATCCATGCTCTGACCTCTACCTGCCTCCTGCACTAACCTGGACAAATGGTGTGTCCATTTCCTGATGGCAGGGTCACCAGTCCATGAGCCATGTCCCTACAACCCTAGGAATCAATTATAGATTTTCCAATAGCAGGGAGCATCACAAAAGGATGAGGACTTCCTCGGAGGGCATGCGCTAGATAGTGCATCCTTCCAGAATCAGGCCTCTGGGGGTGACTCGCCTGAGGTGTCGGTTACCCATTTACGATGGCAGGTCCTCGAATGACCAGTCTGTCTTCTGGTGCGTTGGGAAACGCTGCAGCTGAATGCAGAGGGAGGGACGTCTTGATGGGATGGACTCCTGCCTCAGGAATAAAGTAGGGGGAAGCAGGACACCTTGGCCTCTCCTCCCAGTTGCCAGTTTTCTAGCCTTGTTGGTTCTTTCAATTAGATAGATGCCCAGGAGATATCTGTGTGGATTTTTCTCATCCACAAGATGGGAGCTCTGTGAGATGCAGAGCAGGACTTAATCACCTCTGCACTTCCAGGGTCTGGCTTGACATAGTGTCCACACTGCCCCATGTGCTTCAATTCTGTCAAGAGCCCTGAGGGCTTGTAAGGGAATGTAAGACTCTCCTACTTCAAAATCAGTCTTGGGTAAGCCCTAGAGACAAAGTGAACAGCAGGTATGGTAGAGAGGTAATGGTCCTTAGAGCCAGTGAG